CCTTCCCACGGTGTTAAGCAATTTATACTCAATAGATTGACGAGTGTTTTTCCGCATTAATCTCTGCAAGTTGACTCGCCAAGATGAGGGGCCCTCGGTATTCAAAAGAGTAAGCAAATAAAATTTCGATTTTTTGATAACGAAATATTTTATCCCATACGTACTAACCGTCAAACATCGGTCAAGGAGGAACCATGCCGGCTTCTCAACTCTAAACATAGAATTACAATCAACCCTTCACGTGTAAACTTTGAAATCCCTGCCTGTATCCGAACAAGAGACCATGCCAACTAGGAAGTGCTGTGTTGTTTATATTCCAAGGTGCGTAGCCCCGTGACAAGATGCTGAGGCTGTGTTGTGGTGCCCAAAAAGCTCCAAAGGATGGGACCGTTGCCTGCGACTGATGGTGGATCTGTCAGGTGGATTATTATGAGTTCGTGAGCACTACAGCGACTGAGGCACTGCTGATAAGCGGCCATTTCAGCGAGGCTCATTCACTAATACAGATAAAGCGGGAAGATTAAGACTTTGGAAAGTGTCAGTCGCCTCGTTCTGAAGTCTGAAGTAAACTGCAGGACGAAACATAATAAGCGGTCTGAGTGCAAGTGTTGCTTATGCCACAAATACTGAGGGACGGGAGTCAGATATTCAGTAGCTAAAAACTGAAATGTTGGCCACCGATATTGGGTAAGAACTAATCGCTCTTGAGCAGACAGCCAGCAATTTCTCCTCAGTTTTCACTGTAGGGAGGAAAACCAGAATATTAAAAGATTTTGTTTGACTCTTTTGGGACATTACGTGGTCGGCAATATTGTGATCACTCATGTGGTCTCACCAGGTTCGTCGTCACCAACGCGAAGTTCGCAAATCTGTCTTCCTGCCTCCGATGGATGCTTTGTGACAGATGGAGGACATCAGCGCTATACTAAAAAAGCAATGGTAGAGGTTGACCTTTAAAGGGAGCATTTTGTACTGAAATGTACATAAAAATGGAAACCGTCGTAGGCAAAATATGATAAGATAAGATAATTTTTATTAAAGACCCGTCGGGGTCCCATCAAAGCACTGATGGGGTTTTATTTGGTTTAACTGGTAAGGGAGAAGGGGTGAG